CTGGACCATCAGGAGCAGCTCAACCCTGAGGCCATCGTCCTCCCTCTCCCCCCATGCCGCTTCCTTTCATCCTGGGGGAGCTTCGGTGGGGCGCTCCAAGTCATGTCGCTGGGCGGATGATGACCTTGGGGAAGCGTCGCCGACCGTTTACCCAAGCACCTACCTTGACGCGGTTCTTTGTGCGCCGCAGGTGCCAAGGACGTCACCGCTGCCTGAGAGAGAATGGCCGTGCTCCATCATCATTGTTGGTGCTTGCTGTCGTGCTGCCAGTCAGGCGTGCGCCGGCCATCGGCGCATGCACAACAACCATCGCCGACCACTCCCGCGACTCATTCATGGACTTCCTGTCTGTGGCAAGGAAGCAGCAGCCGAATATTATCGGGAGCGACGTGTACTGGCTCACTTGCGGCTTAGTCCACACTGCGGCGCTCGCCAGCGCATCTCCGCTCTGGATGCTGATGGCTGGCGTGAGGTCCTATCACCGGGGTCGTCATGCGGCGTCGACAGGGCATGCCCCGCCTACGCTGCATCTTGGCGAACCAGCGGCCTCCTACTCGCTATCCGATGGACCTACATGGGAAGTGCTTCGACTGTCTCTCTTCCGCGCATAGGGTGGCAACCTACAAGCTGCCTCCACGCTGCCTCCGATGCAAGTGGTTCCGACACCTCACGCGGGATTGCAAGCGGTAGTGGATGATGCCTCCTTCTAGCTCTAGCGCATCTGGTGCCACAGAAGGCCGGCCATGACAACCACACCGAGAGCGTTCCTTGGGCACCCGACCGCCTACTCGACACTCTGCATAGGGTTGCCGCAACCCCTCGTGCACTCAAGGTGACACACCAAGCTCGGATGGAGCTATGCGGTCTTCTTTGCATCTCGGCGATGGTGGCGCCGACGTTGGAGACGTCGACAACGGTGAAGGGGATGACATTTATTGCGGCAAAGATCTCTAGTGTCACCACTGATAGTGCTACCCGTGATGGTCGCGAGGGGGGGGTCGACCAGTGAGACGCGCCATATTTGGGGCCTCTCCGACCTCGACCCATTGTTGCTCTCATCATTGTCGGATGCCATGCACGCCACACGTGAAGTCTCGGAGGACCTGATGCTGGAGGAGGTTGCAGCCTCGTTCACGGCCACTAGTGCGTGCACCAGTGCCGCTTCGACGATGGTCTCCCACCCTGCTCAACTGGCAACGAACTTGGCTCCATTACCACTTAAGCACGGTCAGTCTCAGGTCACACCACCACTGGCAACGCAGACCACCATCTCAGGAGCTGACACGCCTACGCAGGACGAGTTGGGTGGTCCGCCTGGCTTCGGTCCAGCTGAGCCCATGGTGGATGCAGACACGGTCGACGCCAGTGATAGGTCTGCCGCACGCCGCCTCAAGAGCTTCACCAGGTGCGTGTTGAAGAAGGTCAACTCTCCGCTTATTCGTGAGCCTCCCAAGCGGCCTTCTGCTAAGCCGGTGCTGCGGTGGTGGAGCAGGCGGTTGACGGCTTAGAACCTCTCTCGAGTACCTATTACTAAGCGGGGTGAGGTGCTGATCATGCAGCGTATGGGCTGCACCAAGGGTCCATCAGCGCCATCCGCGCCGGAGTTGGAGGCCTTTGACAAGATCTTCGGCGCAAACTGATTGCGTCCAACGTCGAAGCATCGGGCGCGCTCTTCCCGCATTTGGAAAGGGCTCGTCTAGGCGGTCAGCGAAGGCGCAAGGCCACCTCCTAGGTCGCACCAACTGCGTCGGTTTTGGTTGTTTTCCATTTACTAGGTCGTGCCCGTGCGTTGCTACAGGACAACTAAACTTTTGTACTAAAAACACACGGATCGCATGATAAGATAACAATACTGTGAAATTAAATACCAACATTAAAGTGACATTTAATCCAAAATGAAAGTTCGTGAAATTAATATAGTCACGGAGAGGACGGCGTTACAAGCTCACCAACTCTATTATACGAGACCTTTCCGTGCATTGTAATGGGAGCTTCATGGGCCTTTGATAGTCCTTCGTGCGTACAGAACACATCCCTGTCTTCGTGTTGGCCCTTCTCTCCCTCACCTAAATCCTCTATCGTTTCTAAAAGAAAATAATAAATCCTCTATCGGTTTTATTAAGGTCACTACAAAGGTGGAGGAAAACAGCAACTGAAACTATGCCATAGAATTCAAAAATTTGCACGTTGAAGAAAATTAAAAGAAAAGTAAGAATTAGACCATAGAACAACAATTATTCTTTTATGAAAAAGATATATATTTGTTTGAATAATTATGACTTAGTACACGTGATTTGTTTACAGGATGAGAACGATCTTAACAGAGATACAAATCTTACATGGCTACGGACCTATTATTTAGACAAGAAATGAGGAATGCTAACCCCTAGCCAACAGGAGACATAAATCACGAAAGGATCCCTTTCTACATTATGTATATTTAATACCCTATTGAATATAAGATACAAGTTGACAAGACAGCTATGTTCTGAATTTTTTTTGCCCTAGGAACATAAATTTGAATAAATAATTCACTTAATTTTTGCGTATTCTAAAAGTTGAATCACTCTGGTATCTCAAACTAATCCAAGTTCTCTTATAGGCAAACAAAATTTAGATGTAGTTCAGGCAACCACTCGGTCGCTGTAGGTTTCCTAAAAAAAGATCATTTTTCCCACCGTTTCCAGCTGCTGGAGTCTGACAAGCCAAGGGCTGAATAAGCTGACGAATTAAAATGGTAGTGCAGAAGAAGAGCAAGATGATCTAGTTTGGACTTTTGTTGTATTTTTTCCCCGGGAGGATTGGGATTTGCTATAGCTGGTACTTATTTTATTAGAAGATGCATGCTTCAATCCATGTTGTTCACGTCGATAAGCCATCTTGTTAGAGGCAGCAAAACGGAAAAGAGAGGAAAAGTACCCGTTAATTTAGAGAAAAGCTAACTGACATTCTGTTGTTTCAGATGTCTTCAGCACGTGATTTTATGACCGTCAGATTTTATCGGCGTTTGTTCTTTAAGCGTTTGATTTATTGCATCTATTTCCATCTTTATTTTGGTATGTTCTGTCTTTGATATTTATGAACAATTTAGATATATTTCTCTGATATTGGTAATGCATAGAAATAATTTATATTTTCTCTGAATAATTTAGCATATATTTCTTTGATATCTGCAATTCATAGAAATAGAAGTTGTATTATCCCCAAATTACATCACTCTGTCTAATAAATTACGGTGAAGAAATTATTATAAATATAGTAATAAAACATCATAGATATAGCAAAAAGATATTATAAATGCACACGAGTGCCAAGAGTGGCCAAAACACTCGGTTGCTGCCTAGTTGCTTCCATTAATTTATGAATCTCAGGGCCTGCTTGGTTTGTGATCAAAATTTGTCATGCCAAAGATCTAGCAACGAAAAGTTGAGTAAAAAATTACCATAGATTGGTAAGACAAATGTCAGAGATTGACAAGTTTTGGTAGCTAACTAATATTAGCCAAAATTACAGCTTGCCAAATCTTTGGCTTTGGTAAATTTTGGAAGTGAACCGAGCAGACTCTTAGCTCTTTAAAAAGCTTTTGTCTTTCGATAATGATATCTCATGGACATCTGTCTCATGACTTCAGTCCGGACTTCATCCTCATCCACTCATTCATAGACCCACCCTTATCCACTCATACACACACACTGCCCGCGTCGCACGTCCGCTCTGCGCTACGTGTCCCCGCTCACGGGACGAACTTCGCTTGCTCGCGCGGGGCGGATTCTGCCTGCGCCATCCCCTCCTGCGCCGCCCGCCCGCCATCTGGACTCATGCCTCTTGTCGCGGCCAAGCTCCATCCGCCTGCCGCGACCACTGCCAAATTCTGTACCACCGACGAGCTCTGCACCGAGGACCTCCGCGCACTCCGTGGCATCGAGCTCCACAAGGACGAGCTCCATTCGTCAAAGCAACAAGGTTTCATTGCGCTAAAAGCGTATGCTTCAAATGTTTCAGATGTATGTTGCAAGGATTTCGTATGAATGTTGTAAAAGTAGATCGGGATGTTGCATATGTTGCAATGGTTGTACACTTATGTTGTAAACATCTGCTCCAATGTTTTATTTATTTTTTGAGACATATGTTGCAAGTGTGTTTCATCCGGGTGTTACATATGTTTCACATATATATTGCAAGTGTTTCATTTGAATGTCGCGTATGTTTTGCACTGGCTACACATATTTCTTGGTGTTTAACATATGTTCTAAGTGTTTTAATTTGTTTTGAACGTACGTTGTAAGTGTTTCATTTAGATATTGCAAAAATAGATCTGGTGTTGCACATACTGCAGTAGGACCCATCTGCAGCAGCGCAGCCACATGCTGCAGCTGCTGGGCCCGCCTACATGTGCATGGGTGTGAAGGGGGCGCCACGGTGCTGGTACGAGACATAGAGCGGCATGGGCCACAGTGCAGGTGCGGGACACGGTGCGACGTGAGCCCCACGTGAAGCGGGCGTGGACGTCCGGACGCTCGCCCGTCCAAATGTTCGGACGTGAGACATTCTGTTTGTATTTCAGATGCGATTTTTCTAAGATATATTAATTATATTAAATCATATTTTTTTACGGAATTAAATAAAGATAATTTTTATATGAAAATTATAAATCTCGACGAGATCTACAACTCTCTAGTTTTGAGTTTTTTCATTTAAAGTCGTTAAGATGTTAAAAAAAATTAATGACATATTTAGACTTAAGGTATTTTTGACTTTTCACACCTACAGTTTGATGACGATAGAGTCTAAACTGAGGGTAGTAGCATAGAGAAAAAAAAAGTTAAAGTAGCGATGCTGAAGACCTCTGTGAACTCTTGCGGAGCCTCGCAGTCCCGTCCATTTGAATTCAAGCAAGCAGGCACACGAAGAAAAGCGGCCGATTGAACCGAACCAACCAACCCAAGCCTAGCCAACCCGAATCCCAAACCCAACTGCCCCGCCGCCGGCGATCGCCGGAGATGTCATGGCTCGCCCGCTCTCTCGCCACATCCCTCAACATCCCTGACGATTCAGGCGCCGACGATGACCCGGACGCCACCCCCCACCCCTTCCCCCTCTGCGCGCATCCCGCCGCCGCCGCCGCCGCTCCCCACTCACCCGCTGCATTCGGGCGCAGTGGAGGGCGTCAAGGAGGACCTCACCGAGCTCTCCAAAACCCTAACGCGCCAGTTCTGGGGCGTCGCCAACTTCCTCGCGCCACCGCCCGGGGAGACCTCGCCGTCGCCGTCACCCTCCCCTCAATCGTGGGGGGTCAATCCGCCGATGCGAGGACACCGCCCGAGATCGCCGGTATCCGGAACGACTTTGCTGAGATCGGCGGGAGGTTCAGAAGCGGGATCTCCCGGATCTCAGGTCACAAGGCCGTGTCTGGGTTCTCTAGGATGGCCTCTAGTTTCTTCGCTCCTGATGACTACGCGGAGAACGAGTGGGACGAAGAGCGGAGACGACATATTAGGTATGAGATGGAAGAGGAGGTGGAGGGCGACGAGGAGTGGCATCAGTGGGAGGAGAGGGTAGGCCTTAGGGCGGAGGATGGCGACGCAAGGCATGAGTTGGAGATGGAAAGAGTAAGGGACGAAGAAGATGACGAATTGGAGGAGCTGAGAACGAGGCATGAGGATGATGGCAAATTGGGGGAGCAGAGAGCAAGGCATGAGGAGGATGGCGAACCTGAGGAGCTGAGGGTAAGGCATGAGGAGGAGGAGGAAGTGGAGGAGGACTGGGATGTGATTGGAATCACTGAGGAGGTGCTTGCATTTGCGACAAACATTGCCAGGCACCCGGAGACCTGGCTTGACTTCCCATTGCTGCATGACGATGATGAGTCCGATGGACCATTCTCATGTAATTTCTTCACCTCTTTCTTCAAGTTATTCATATTGTTCTCGGTGAAATAATATGTAAAGTTTCAAGTTTACCATTGGAAGATGTGTTGCTAGGTTCAAGTCATTTTGTCTCTACTGTAACTGAAAAAACTCTTCATGTGTTAACTACTATCAGCTTAATATCTTGGTTGCTCTGCATGTTCATTGTTTTTTCTACCAATTTTATGCATATAGAATTTCTTACCTAAACTTTTTGTTCCTTCAGATTTTGACATGTCTGATGCTCAACAAGAGCACTCCTTGGCTATTGAGCATCTTGCTCCCAGATTAGCAGCTTTGCGGATTGAACTATGCCCGATCCATATGAATGAAGAATGTTTTTGGAAAATTTACTTTGTTCTTCTACATCCTAGACTGAACAAGCATGATGCCGAGCTTCTATCTACACCATAGGTAAAATTCTCCTTACTCTTGATACTATATTACCTCCATGGTTAACGTTGTTCCAGAAAATTGGTATAGATAAGTAGTAAAGCTATATGCAGTTATGTTAAGGTTAGTGATGCTACTTGTAGCAAATATCTAGTTAGTTCTGACTTGACATTTGTTAGGTTAGAATATTTCTCAAGACATCTCTTTTGTGGTTTACATCATTATTTATGGATTTTTTTTATTTCATTAATGTGATACATGACACATGAGAACTTCTAAGGGTTGCTGTACGGGAAAAAGAAAAGAATCCCATATGTCAATATCAACAGTGTTGATATAGGTGCGTACCATTCGAAGTTATTATGGCTGAACGAGCAGAGACAAACTTACAATAGGTAGCATATTCTTATGATTGCCTGAGCTCTTAGACAACATAGCTTACCCATATAATTTGTGTTTACTTTCAAGAGATCTTGATTCTCGATTTAGTTCTATGTATGTGGTAGCACATTTCTAGTTTCATACTCAACTACTAGACATAAGAGTTGTTGGTTGGTTCACACCAGCGCACCATACAATTAAACATGATATTTAGTGGTCTGATGAAGGAAGCTGAAATAACCTTTATCTAGCTTCTCTGCAAATTATGTCATCTCTTCCATAGTGCCAGGCATATTTTGATCATAAACACAGATTGTGGTCAAATCTAGAAATTTCATGGCAGATGACCAACTTGTCCCATATTAAGTATCCATACTCCATAAAGGAAAAACACATAGTTTATGTACGTGGACATAAATGGTATCGGGAGACAGAAAACAACATGATAAAGTATGAACATCATTTCTTCTGCATGTGTGTAATGGCGGAGGAAGGAATTAAACTAAGGTGTGGTGAAGTGCCGAAGTAGGTTACATAGGTTGAGTAAGATTGAAGATTTGAAATTATTTATACACATGCAAGATTTAATGATTTTTTATTCGCCAAGTACAAAATTATTTGCACTGTTGAGTCCATCTATACTTAATTCTTTGCCCTGTTCTTCATAATTAATACCAAATTTAAACAACAAATTAAATAAACAAGTAAACAATAATTGAAAAAAGCTTATGCTGCTGCAAATTGAGCCTTACTCCCTTACCTGATTCTGATCAGTGTGTGGCCAGTGTTTGTGCGCCTGTTCCTCTGCATCAGTGTGTGCCTTGTTGTCGCTGTCTTTGTGTGACCGCCTCGCCGGCTCACTGAGTCTCCGCCTCCGCATCGGCCCCTAAGCCCTAGGCATCTGCACTCTGCAAGATCGGCAGCGCAGCAGAACTCGAATCAACGAATTGTCTGGGACTGGGATACTATAGACGGACAGCCGGATGGGAATGGAATACGTACGGGCGGTTGTCCGGACGATAAAGAGGCAGAGAACACAGTGATGGCCCATACCATAAGCAAGGCCCAAAGCCATGACCTAGAAAAACCATTTGTTCCTTCCTCCTGTCTATTGGGCAGACTGTGTTCAAAGCTTGCTTCGATGTCCATGGCCGATCAGTGGACGGGGTGCCTGTCCGGCAGTTCAGGGGGAGATCCGCTAGGAAGTCAAGGTATGGTGTCCGCCATACCTAGCCATATCGGATCCTTTGCCCGTGCATGTCTGTGCCTACATGTTACAGCAATATATGAGATTGCTTCCTCTATCTTTTGCAGTGAGTAGTAGATAAGCTTCCTTCAAACTATATGTAAACTATATGCAATATGCATTTTTGTGCATACTACTGAGGAGCTACCGAGCCAGTCATGTCAAATTGGTTGTTTTTTATTTGTCTAGAAATATAATCATACCAGCATGTTTCAGACCTCCCTAACTAGATTTGGAAGCTCTAGGTAATTTGTAGGCATACTTTAGGTTTATGTGGCTAGATTTCTCTAACCTCTAGTTTGCACGCACTGTTTAGATTCCTTATTGATTTACTAAAAATCTCGGCCCCTGTGGGAGACCCTCACCACGGTGTTGAGCTAGGATGAAGATTATTGTCTGCGGGACCGAGTAACCCCCCTAAGACCGGCAGCCCAATACGTGCAACTTAGGACCTAGGACATGGCTGTGTGTCTCGCTGTAAGCTGCATCGGACACGTGTTGCACTGGAAACTGCCGACGAGAGGGTTAACTCATTGGTGAAAAGTTGAATCTCTAAATTTGACCTTCAAGTGCAGATTCAAGCAAGGGGCATATTGTAACAGATAGCAGTTAAGGCCAGTTACTCAATATGAACTCTCAGAAGATGCCAAACAGAATATTTTGTGCAATTATGGTAGGCTTTTTCAATGACATCAGAAATTGGGCAAACTAAGTGTAGAAAATTCTGCCTATCTGATTATTATATCAAAGATAATTTAGTAGTAGAGGCCCATGGCCTATGTCCATCCGTGCGTGCTGTGCAGTAATGGTCCAAGAACTTCCTTTTTTATGAGACATGGTTAAACAAAATTCCAATTAAGCACTTGCAAGATCCTGCATAAAGAGGACTAGAAGTATACAGTCTTTATCTTCAACTGACTGTTGCCCTTTCCTGTTCTCCATGTGCAACCTTCTCTGGTTGAGAACAAAGCTAATATTATAATGTGTCTGCTTGTGATGGTTTATCTTGAAGTAAACTGATCGCATGTTCCCAATGCTCCCCTGCACCCTGGTGCCGACGACCTGAAATCAAATAAAGTTAGTTTGGCTTGAGTTGTCTTGCTAGGTATTTAAATTTCAAACTCCAATAGAGGAACCAATGAAGTAATTAAAAGTGGAACCCATCCAGGATCAATACTGCTTGCTTTAGTGATTAATATTCTGCACATTTGTAGTTCTTTCTATAAATTAGATTTGCACTGTGGCGGAACACCTTCCCCCAAGTTGACTTTCTTGAACTTTTGGAGTCCATTTATGTCATGGGTGCACCAAAAGGAGGGATGCACAATAGAATATCAGTTGCCGTGGTTGATGCAATCATCATAACTAAAGACATGATTATTTGCCATTTCTGCTGGTATCAAACAGTTTATTCCACGAATAATGATACCTGCCTGAGCCAGTAATCTAAGTCCAATTCTTATTCTTGCAGATTGTGGAAGCTAGAGCAATGCTTATGCAACGCTTGCAATACCAGTCAAAGCTTGAAACTGAACAGCTAGATCATCATAAGGATGATCATGGAGTTCAGTTACGAGAGGACACCTTGAAAGATGGTACAAAAGCATTCCCATTCATGCGACGGGAAGCAGCTTCTGTTATGCCCATAACAGAAATTGAGATTGAGAAGCATCCTATCCATGTAACTGAAGTTGCAGCTGTGGACAAATCGGTCATCAAAGAGGAGCTGCCCAAGGATCATACTGAGACCTCAAATATTTTGCAAGAGGCCTTTGATGATGACATAGACGATTGGTTCGACGAGGAGGCTGATCTTGCTGGCCACCCAACTATCCACATAGGTGACGAGGAAGACGTGTCTTTTAGTGACTTGGAAGAGGATGACGTGAAATGATTTAGTTGCAACTTGCAAAGCGAGCTATCGACCAGTGTATTGGAAACTGGATATCTATGCTATACAAGAAAATGTAGAGGTGCAGGCTGTTTGTGAAAAGAATAGGGTGTACAGTGAAAACCGAGTGGCTTTGTTTTGCACTCAAGCTGCCGGGGAAGCTGCCGGGGTGAAGGCACTGTTCAAGCTACCGGGGGCTGTGATCTAAGCGCTCAAGCGGCCAGGGTGAAGGCACTGTGATCTTATCGCTCGAGATATGGTAGGGTGCTACGTTTGACCAGCATTACAGTTTGTAATTTGATTCATACTCTTTTGTACATAAGCATTCGTGATGTTATAAGGTCAGAACAATAAAGTTACATTCGTTGTTTGGTCAAAGAATTGCACATATATCAGATAAAAAGCAGAGTGATCTTCAATTTATCGAGAATTTTATGTGCAATACAACTTGCTATACTTTATGTACAAATTTGTACTGCTTCCTGACATTGTAATTCTTGGTACCCGAGATACAGGAAATTACTGGAACTGAGCACCTATGGAAGCGTCTATGCAGATTGCAGAAGAACAACAGGTGGATTGTTCTCCGAACAGGTTTCAAGACCTGATGTAGTTGAAGTTATTCGAGAGCTTCCCAAGGTGTGACCATAGAAGGCTCCCCAGGGAAGGTCTGGGCCTCTCCTGAGGCTGAGGCCCGGCGACGGGCGGGGCTGGCACGCTGGTCTTCCTCACCGGCGGCCAGCCAGGGGCCTCCATGACAACGTCGAGCGAGATGTCCATCTCGGCGACCCTCGCCTGCACAGCGCGCAATGCCTCAGCGCGCACCTCGCCGCCGGTGTCCGTGACGAGGTAAAATATGCCAAAGGCGTCGTCCTTGTGCCTCCTGAGCTCAACTCTCAGCAGCGACAGGCCGTGCTCTCGCAGCACCCTGGTGAAATCCGATAGCAACCCCGACCGGTCGGCGGCGCGCACCTCCACCCTCACGCCCTGCAACGTGCAACGCCGTGTGTTAGTGAAACGACAAGTACATACACAGCGGCGAGGAATGGTCGAGCGAGCCTGACATGAGTGGCCCTCCGCTCCACCGCGGCCACGAGGCACCGGGAGACCTTCTGCCGCTCGGCGCTGCTGTCGACCGTGCGCCCGTCCTTGTGCCGGATGTAATATTCCTGCGTCGATGATGCCAAGGATGACACAGTGTCAGACTCCAAGTCTCCAAGGGTGATGATGCAATGCAACATGGGCACCCACGTACTGACATGAGGTGAGAAACACACGTGGTGGTACCTGAATGGCAAGAGCCCCCTGGGATCCGATGGTAGCGTGGAAGACGACGTACTGCATGTCGGTGAGCGCGCACACCGTGTCGAAGAGCAGCCTGGGCCGGTCCCTGCTCGTCATCTTGACGACGGCGTAGCCCCGCTCCTCCCAGCTGTCGATGGACACGCGCGTCACGGCGCGGCGGGGGGCCGTCCGCGCGGTCGCCGCCTTGTCGCCCATGCTGAAGAGCTCCTCGTCGACGGGGGTCGGTGCCGGGCCGGACTCGTAGTCCCGGTCGTCGTGCATGAGCTGGTGCAGGCGGCGCTCCGTGTGGACGCGGCCCTGCACGGGCTCCGACACGCACACCCAGTGGCGCTCCCCGGTCAAGTTCTCGCGCGCGTCCACCACGGCGTTCACCAGCCGCTCGACGCGCGCCCACCGGCTCGGGAGCAGCGACGCCGCGCCGGCGCCGTCCGCGGCGGCCGTCGTCACGTACAGCACGCCCGCCGCGCGGCCGTTGTGCGTCCACGCCTGCCCGGACGCGACGTGGCACCCGTTGTCCACCAGCACAGACGTGATGGACGACAGGAGCCCCGCGCGGTCGTGCACCGTGAACTCGAGCGCCGCGCAGTCCGACACGTCGGGCCCGCCCGGCCCGACCACGTTGCCCAGGCACGTGGTGAACCGGGGCGACGGCCTGTTGCCCGGCCGGTGGAACGGCACCAGCGCGCTCTGGATGAACTCCGGGAGCGACGGGTCCGTCAGCTTGCGCCCGATCTGGTCCGTCACGTGGAACACTGCATTGGGCAACAGTGGCAGCCGGTCAAGAACCGATTGAATTGTGGGGGCAAGGGCAATGATTGATGCCCAACTTTCCATGAAAGACCGGAGTCAAATTCGACGGGCGATGGCATGATGGCATTCAAATCAAATCAAAGCAAATTGACAAGAAACGAGGAGGAGGAGCAGTCCTTGCCATCCATGAGCCAGCCGCCGTCGGAGGAGATGTACGACTTGGAGATGACGAGGTCGAGATCGGTGAGCAGCTGCACCATCTCCAGCAGCACGCCGTCCCGGTTCACGCTGTCAACCTGGAAACGGGGGAGGCACACGAAATCAGAACAGAACGAGAGGAGGAGGTCCTGTGCATGCTATGCTCGGCTCTGTTTTGTCGCGAGAGCAAACAAACCTTGACGAGCGTGCAGTCCTCGCGCGTCTCATTGTCGACGACGACCCTGCAGGCCACACAGAGCTCGTCAACAGCCGGCGTTCAGAAGAGAAGGGAATCGCGCAGCAAGCCAGCGGAGGATGCGTACCCGGGGGTGCCGAAGCGGTCGAGGAGCGGGTCGAAGTCCGGCTCGAAGTACGGCCCGGAGACGTACTTCATCGCCGCCGAGGCGCCGCCGCGCCGCTGGCTTTCCTTCTTGGACAGACAGAGCCTCTTGATTCCGCCGAACTTATTTATCTCTGCCTGGGTGGAAACCTGCAGGGATTGTATGAATAAAATACATACATACAAGATATCAATATATGGTAAGAAAGGCCGGGCAGATCCAATCTGAGGCCAAGAACAGAAGAAAGAAACAAAGAGAGAGAGAGACGGGGGGCAAAGAAAGAAGACAACACGAGGAACGCGCGCCGTGTTCACATGCGACGCCGCGGGTCGCCGGCTCGGCGGCGTGGCGGCAGCGCAATGACAGCATGCTCGCTGGGGACGCGGGAGATCACCAACGAACACCTTTCTTTGGGGAGGACGGACGGAGGCGACGAAACCAACGGAGCGGGAGGTATTATATAGGTGGACTGTGGACGGATGTGGATGGAGGAGGCGGGAGATCGATCACCTTGCGTTGCGTTTCCACAGGCGGAGCCGAGGCGAGGTCACGTGTGGTGGTTGCACGCCCGCCCGGTTCCGGGCTCCGATTTGCTCCGCGCGCCTGCCTCTGTTCGTTGTCGTCGTTGCTCCTCCTCTCTCTGCGCGAACGAACTCTGCGAATCGGCGGCGTTTTAGGATTTGAGCGGGGGGCGCGAACGGCCGCCGCGCCACGTCGGACGGGCGCGCGGACACGTGGCGGAGGCACCCTGGTTGCTAGCGTAGCCTTTGTCCGGTTTCGTTGCTGAACTCCGACTCTGTTTCTCTCGTGTTTTTCGTTCCCTCCTCGGCTGCTCCTCTGGCCTTTGGTTGACCGGTTAAGGCTTTGCTTGTACAGAGTAGATCAGATCTGTTTCGTAGGATCGTCTCCTTTTTGGGTTGCCGGAGGGTGCAATTTCATGAGGGTTCTACTTCTACAGACATACAGCGCGGAAATGCACAGATTTTTTTTTCCTTTTCGTCTCTTTCTCATGTGCACAGCCTATTGCAAAATTGTGATTTGGAGAAAAATCCTCTCATGCTGCCCTTTTCACCACAAGATCAGAGGATGTGCCATTCACGATACAGGTTCATCCTCAGTGCTCTTTTGGCAATAGGAGTTCTCACTAGTCACCACATGACGTGATGTCTTGGCAATAGGAGTTCTAATCGAATTCCACAATATAATTAACACGTTGCTCTCACGCAAAAGATATAATTAAAAAAGAGCCACCCATCACCGTACACATTTTTTTGAGATCAACTACGGGGGGATCAAATTGATCCCCACCTGATTTTATTTCACAGATCCCGGCAAACCGGATCAGCTTACATATTAAAATAAAACATTGTGCCTAATAGTCTATGTCTAATCAAATAAGCTATGCTGAACATGATCTAAATTTAACCAGGGTCCTTAAATTCAGAATTAGAAAATACAGGAAAAGTAATAATTTATATGGCAGCCACGGAACTAGATACAGTTCCAACTTAAATAATAAGGCACGGATACAAGACTGAATATGCATGTAAGGAATATTTCTAAATTTAAATAAGATTCATTCCCTCTGTTTCAAAATAAACACAAGTCTCATTTCCCGATAAGAATATAAAAAGTACTATCAACATTTGGATCTTTAAATAAATTTATTATAAAAGTATATTTCATGTAACTTAACTATACTTGCTATACATCCTAAATACATGAGTATATTTTGGCATGCTACCGAGTAGCCTCGAAACATCCTAAACAGGCACAGCATCGTAGCTGGGCACGTAAATAGGCAGCACGTGGCACGTGGAGGTGGAGGGCGCGAAGAAGCCGCTGCCGCACGAGCGGGTGCCGCAGCCATACAGAATCGGACAGCACAGGCAGAACGCGTGTCAAATCCAGCGGACACAAAATCGCGCGCGCAGCTGGCAAAACAACCGAGTGCCCTATTGCATTTCTGTTCTGGTATTAGCACAATACAGTGTCAGATCCAGCGGACACAAAGTCGCGCGCTCAGCCGGCAAAAACACCCGAGTGCCCCGAATTTTTTATTTTTCAGCCATTTTTTTGAAAAATATTCACAAATAGATCCGTTGTGGTTTCATTTTCGTTTATGGACCCTGATATCGGCTGTCACACCCAATTTTAAGGATAAAATTGAATGCACTAAACTCATGTGTGTCCAGGGATCAGTCACACACATAAGTTGACAAATTATAAAAAGTATCATCACGGTGTATCTTACATAACGAGTAATAGCATTACATTGTCTTACATAACACAGCGGAAGATAAAAAAAATAACTCTCTCGTGGAACTCCATCACAGGGACGGTCAACTGGTTGACCACAAGCATAATAATCATCAGGAAACTCCTCATATCCATTGTCATCTGTTACCCATCCGGGATTTTTATTCAAATATAGAAAGTAAACAAGCGTAAGTACGTCCCGTACTCAACAAGATAACATAGGGTTATGAAGCTCAAAAAGGTTGACACTGGTTTACTGCAGTTAGCACTTTTAGTAAGTCAAGATTTTATCCTCAACTATTATCAAGTTATGCTTAAGCTCCCATTTAAACCCACGTGATCATGTATCCGATCCAATTGAGTCATGTGACATCATCATAATCATCTCGTATAAACAACATTATAAGTAGCCATCTATTCTGTGAGTTTTTCGGGCCGCTCGTGACCGTGAGCACAGCTGTTATAACAGTTTGTTACCCTCTGCAGGTGGTGCACATTCACCGCGAGTCGTGATCCCCATATGCCCGGGTTAATTACTCTCATATCACTGCCAAGGTGAGCGGGCATGGTACACTATAAAGCCATTTCATAGGTTTCTCTAACAAGTTAGGGCCGTTAGGTTTCCTTGGCAGGCAGATGTAGGAACCCACCTTTCCTATGGCACATATCCATCGCGGCTATATACATAGGAACAGAGGCAGTCCTATATCCAACGTGGCAAGCCCCTTTTGCGCCATAAAGGTAACCTCTAACAAGCTAGAAAAGGTCCTATTACTAAGCTAAAGTCAGAGCCATATGACCCTCACGGTTGCACTGTCAGTCCCAGCTTTTGCCGACAGATAAGTCCTTATGGAGGGCCGAGAGCAATATGATCAAAAGTCATTTGCACCATCGCCCTATGGATCAGTTGTTATAAAGCATGTTTTACCTTTAGTTCCATAGAACCATTCACCATCAAATAGATCATGTTCAGTTAGAGTACTAGCAATCTACCCATATGCAATTAACCCATATGAGACAAGGAACAGGATAATCAATCACTAGGATGTCCTTACGGGTATCAAAATTAGACACATGCAAATGAATAATTAATAAATGGTGAATAGGCATCAAGGTAGGTCCCATGCTATACTTGCCTTGGTTCACAAACTCTTGCTGGTCCTGCTGGTTGTCGAAGAATTCTTGGTCTCCAACGTTCTCCTCACCGTCTGAACGCGACCAACACGGCAACATACAACATTTCAAAGGCATTCATACAAAGCAAACAATCCTATAGTTAGAACAGTACACCAACGGTATAGAAAACAAGATAAAATGTTTATGAAAAGAATCTACGTCTCGCTACGATCACGTCAACGCGAAGTTCACGAAAATCGGAGCTAAAACACGAAAGTTATGAATTAAACGGGATTTTCTATAGCAATTTATTTAATTAAATCTAACCATGAAATTTAAAAGTTGCAAACATGATTAACAGTGGTACTAACACGTAGATTATGAAATTACGAAGCTAACGCAATTTGAACGGGTCAATTCGGAGCTAAAACGAAGTTTTTATGAGCAAAACAAATATAGTGGCATTTCTGTAAATACTGAAAACGTATTTTGAACTAAAACAGTAGACTTTACGTTTTCAAAACGAGAAAGCGTACTCTGGAAACTACGCTAGGGACGACGGGTTCAAATAGGTGAAACCAGGAGGGCTCTTTAGCAAATCTACCCGCGAAGGGGTATCGGCCACTGAGAGCCGTTGGATCAAGATCGGGCGGCACGGATTAGATCTGGGGAGGGAGAAGGAAGGGGTGGCCGGCCGGAACAGTGGCAGCCGCGGCGGCTCAGCCATGAACGGCGGCGAGAGCACGCCGACGAGCTCAGTACAGGGGCTAGGGGCCACGGTTTCTCCAACCGAGAGAACCGGGGGTTAGCGGGGAAGCAGGGGATCTCGGCCAGGCCTATTCGGCGGCCGGAGGACACGGCTAGCGAGGTGGTCGCCATGGCCGGCGAGGCGAAGGTCGTCGGCGCACGCGGCTAGGGCGCTAGAGGACATGAAACAGGAAACAAACAACATGGGGAGAGAGAGGGAATCATAGTGAAGCTCACAGCGGGGAGAACGGAGTCGACGGCGGCTCAGAGACGACGGTTAGCGCGGAGGCGGGTGGTGGATCCCGGCGTCATGGTTGCTGTGGCCTCCGAGCACGGCGGGTTCGAAAATGGAGCGGGGAGCAGCAGGGGGGCGCGCGGGGGGTCTCGGCTTCGCTTTGTAGAGGCCAGAGCGAGGGCGACGCGCCCACGTCGTGAGTGGAGCGCGGGGCAGTTGCGGCTTGACCGTCGCTGCGGTTGCGGGACGTGCGGGAGGAAGGTGGGGGGAGGAGCTGACAGGCGGGGCCAGGTGTCAGCAGCTGAAGAGGAAAGGGAGGCGCGGCGGTTGCTGGAAGGCCGCTCGGCTCGGCTGCGGTTGGGCTGGCGCGGTGCTGGGCTCGGCGGGGAGGCACGGAAGGCCGAGCTGGGCTGGCACGGCTGCTCGGTGGGCCTCGGCCAGAAATGAGGAGAAGGGGGAGGGGAGAGGGAGCTGGGCTGGCGCGGTTGAGCGGGCCGAAAATCAAGGAAGGGAGGGAGAGGGGAAAAAATAATTCTTTTCCTTTTTCCAACAATTTTCCAAATTCATTTTCAATCAGATTTTGAATTCATTTGGACTTTGAATCAAAACCATTCATTACAAAAATAAATATGCAGCAGCATGTATGCATCACTTGTAGCTAATCTTATATTTGATTTTAGTTTTATAAAAAATTAT